GCAGGCAATACACTAACGCCAGGTGCTGCGAATTCAGGCGGTACACTAACGCCAGGTGCTGCAACTTCAGGCGGTACACCAACGCCAGGTGCTGCGAATTCAGGCGGTACACTAACGCCAGGTGCTGCAAATTCAGGTGGTGCTACTTCCAGAGGTTCGCTAACGCCGGGTGGAGCAAATTCAGGTGGTGCGTTGACGCCTGGTGGAACAAACTCAGGCGGTGCGTTGACGCCTGGTGGAGCGAATTCAGGTGGTGCCACATCTAGTGGTACGCTCACGCCTGGTGGAGCAAATTTAGGTGGTGGTACTCCTAGCGGTTCGCTTACGCCGGGTGGTACCACATCAAATGGTCTTCCAGGTGGAACATCTGTCTTGGGTGGCACACCTACGCCAGGTGGTACCACATTAAATGGTCTTCCAGGTGGATCCCCATCACCTTTGGGTGGAACATCTCTTTTGGGTGGCACACCTTCAAGTGGTGGAACAGCTCTCATCGGTGGTACACCAAATTCTGGTGGAGCTACTCCAGGTGGTACATCCGTTCCAAGTGGAACTTCTACTGGTGGTCGTACTACTCCAACTGGAACATCCACTTCAATAACTGGTTCAAATAACACTCCAAGTGGAACACCCTCAAGTGGTATTTCACCCAGTGGTACATCTTCTGGTACACCAAATACCAATGGTGGTACTTCGACTTTAGCTCAACCATTAGCAGCCACATCAGTCTCTCCAGCAACAACAACATCAACTGGTTCTTCATTCTGGACAACAACTTACAATCCAACACTTTCATCAAATGTCAATTCTCTTGGATCTCAAACACGAAATTTAGAAACAGTGGTACAATCATCTTCTCCTGGTACCTCATCAAGCTCCACCCCAACATCTGCATATACATCACCAACTGTAATTCATGGATATACAAGTCCAAGTCGTCGATTCTTGGCCACAAGTTCTGCTGAGATTTCAAATATTGATGTTCTCTTTTGTGATATTGAAGGAAATGCAATTTGGAAATGGAGTGCTGAAGAAATTCCAGATGTAACAATTCGCAATTCGTCAAATTCGACTATGGAAATTGATGTTAATGTTGAAGGTGTTTGTTCTGCTACATCAACACTTAGTGTTTCAGCTTATCAAAGTGGTTGTTCACTTCAGAATCATCCAGAAGGTTGTGAAAATGTTTATTATAAAGGATGTGGTGGAATTACTGTCTCTCCTACAAGTGAACGTATTGTCATTGCACGTACTGGTGGTCGAACACTTGGTGTGTTGAATTATAAAAGTGTTGACAATACATGTCAAGGTCAAATTGTGGATGCAATTTCAACATATCGTGGAAAGAAATTCAATAGTCCAACATTTGCTGAATATGCGAATAATGGGATTTTATATTTTACTGATAGTCCATTTGGTCTTGCAACGAGTGCTGCTGACTTTGAAGGAGACATTTTGGATCATTCTCCTTTACGTGAGATACCATTTAATGGTGTTTATATGTTACGAAATGGTTCAAATCAATCTGTAGAACTTCTAGATTGTGAAATGACACGTCCAAACAAAATTGCTTTCTCTCCAGCACAAGATATTATGTACATCACGAATTCTCAGAAACAAAATTCATATGTGAAGAGTTATGTCATGTCACATGATGGAACAGTGTACAATTCAAGTGTTTTTTTCAACTTTACAGCGCATCCAGAACTTGAGACGGATGAAGGATTTGCAAAAGGCATTCAAGTGGATGATGATGGTTTTGTCTATGTTGTATGTCATAAAGGCGTGTACATTTTCTCACCACAAGCTGAATTAGCGGGAGCAATTATGAGCTCAGAAGATCTTGATTCAGTCTCAATGGGTCTTGGTCGTCTCTTTCTTACGGGCACTTTTGGAGTCGTAGCACAAACTAGTGGCGTTCCGTCTCAAACGCTTCCACGTGCTCACGTCACATGCACTGCTTAAGTCATTTTCAAATCAAATTGGACATTTTCATGGTTTGTTTCTTGTCTATTACTTACATTTATCTACTCTTGAGCACTCACTTTTCCACTTTTTTTACTTCCTTTCTTGTTGTCTTTCTGTACTTGTACTGAAGTTGTTGAAACATGTTGAGTTGAGGTGATATTCATTGTAAACTTGAGAATGAAATTACTGCTTGTAATACGTTCATCTTCAGCACAACGTCGACCATCTTCCCCTTCAGCATAGGCAAAATTTGAACCTACAAAATGTGAAATTCGATATGCTACTTCTTTAATTGTTGTTCCTCTTTTAACAAGAATCGCATCGGCAAAGATTCCTTTGTTACTACTTCCTGGTACCATATTCGTTGCAAAACTCTTTAATGATTTAACTGGATAAACAATCACAATATCAGCAAGTCCCACAGCTCCATTAATTGCAGCATGAACTCCAGTACTTCCAAATCGAAATAACACGAGATCAGCAATTCGTTCTAATCGTTTTGCAATCTTTGGCTTTAAAATTGGTTTTAAGGGTTCAAATCTCGTTTCAACTTGATCTTTTTCATCTTGAAAAGTTGTATAAGTCATGGCACCAGGTTCATATCGAATCAAATGAAGTTTACAAGCTTGTTTTAAAAAACATTCTGCTGCAGCACTTGCTACAAAACATCGTTCACTTCCATATTTGTTAACAATTCGTTCAATATTTCGATCTGTTTCATCACCTTGATCAGCTTTATTCAATACTAAAATTGTTGGAAATCGAAGTGTTCGAAAGATTGAAACTAAGTGACGCACTTGAGTTTCTTTCCATAGTGAAAGATCCACAGGTTCTTTCACTTCCATTTGATCTAAAACTTTCATTACAAGTGAAGATGTTGCTCCATAGCCTGAAAATTGATGACTTAATGTCGTTAAAAGACTTGATTTCGTTCTTTCATGTCGTCGAACAATTGAAGTCCAACGAGTCCATAAATTCTTAAAAATCCATTCTTCTACTTCCAAATCAAACCATTCAGCATCATTTAATGGATCGTAACCTTTTGTTTCTTCACCCTTTTCATTTGTATGACCCGAAACATCAAGAATATGCATCAAGACATGAGCATGACGTAAATCATCAAGAAATTGATTTCCAAGTCCAGCACCTTGTGATGCACCAGGTAAAAGACCAGCAATATCCAATAATTTGATTGGAATTGAACGCATTCCTTGTTCACATTTTCCATAACGTGGAGTACATACACTTGTCTTTTGTTTCTTTAAACATGGACATGGTGTGATATAATATGTAATTCCTTCATTTGGTTCTATTGTTGTAAATGGAAAGTTACCAACTTTCGCATTCCCATCAGTAACAGCGTTGAAAAACGTTGATTTCCCAGCACTTGGCTTACCGACACATCCAATGATGAGCTCCATTAGTTTCAATTGTATAGTGTGGAAGACATGAATTATTGTCAAACCTATGCAATGTAATATCCTATCATTTAGTCTTACCAAAAGTCAGGTAATATACAGCATGCATGTTGTAAGACAGGAAATTCTTTTTTGAGAGGATAGAGGTAGAGAATTAAATTGGTAATGATCAATTCCGATAGTCTCGTATGTCGTCGCATCCAGCGTCTCCCCAAGTAGTCGCTGAATTATCTTCCTCCACACCGAGATCACCTCCTTCTGTGTCAATAAATCTCATAGCACCAAGTATGAGTATCAAAGGAACTGCGTCAACACGGCCGGAAACTACGGCAACGTCATGGACTACTAGGTGGTCACATTCAGTTAAGGACATGAAGCATTCGAAAAGCGGTTCCATTTCATTGAATGGACGTTATCGACCGCTACATTTACGGGATGATGATGATAATGACAATGACTGGCTGGATGTTCCAAATTTTAGCAATGATGTCTCAATTTGTTCACCTGTGGAAGTCGCAACTGTTCCATTCGCTCGTTCGCTTCTTGAACGTGAGCAAATGACGTCGTTTTTTCAAAGTTCATGGATCTTTCTATTGCTTTTAGGGTCAATAACGTCCATGACTGCATGGAGTGTCGATGCTGGAGTCTTGGCGCTTACAAAGCTTCATTTGAGCTTTACAAAACTTGGAGTAGACTGGCCATTTGATTATCTTTTTTATATTATTTTTCGAATCTCAATTCTTCTTCTTGGTGTTGGATGTACAGTCTTGATCTGTCCCGAAGCTGCTGGTTCCGGTATACCAGAAATGAGAAGCATCTTAGGCGGCTTTTCCTTTCCAAATTATCTAACAGGACGAGCATTGATTGCCAAGTGCTTTGGCTTAATGTTAGCACTTGGAAGTGGCCTTACAATTGGAAAAGTAGGTCCATTTGTACATCTGAGCTCTATCCTTGCGCAGCAATTGCTAAGGTTACCGCTATTCCACCAAATTCGCGAGTCCTATGATCTAACACATGACGTGTTGGCAGCAGCGTGTGCTGTCGGTGTCACGGCAACATTTGGAGCTCCAGTGGGTGGTGTCTTGTTTAGTATTGAAGTCACAACGTCATATTACATGACATCCAACTACTGGCGTGCTTTCTTCTCATCTGTCGTCAGCGTCGTTGTTTTTCGTGCGCTGAATAGTTTACTTGCTAAATCATACGGATCTCTTTTCACGACGTACTTTGACGCATTACCGTACGAGACGTTCGAAATCGCTTTCTTCTTGTTGTTAGCAGTGATTTGCGGTCTTCTTGCTGCGCTCTTGGTCCGTGCGTACTGCTTGATACTATATGTGAAAAAGAAATTGGAAGACCAATATTTGTTACCTTGCTGTGGACACTTCCCCGGGCTTTTGCCATTTATTTACGCTGCTCTCGTGGCGTTTCTCTTATCTTTGGTAGAGTATCCCGTTGGGAGCTTTATGCAGCTCACGCAACGTCAAACCATCGACGATATGTTTTCATCCAAGACGCTGAATGCTTTTTCAACTGCCACGCACTTGTCAATCGATTTTGGCAGTTCTTGGGCATCTCCATCACTCATATTGAACTTGTCTGCATATATTATTGTACGCTTTTGGGCCTTAGCCATTAGTGCTACGGTGTTTGTGCCTAGTGGAATTGTAACCCCTGTCTTCGCGATCGGCGCCGCGCTGGGACGTCTGTTTGGAGAGTTGATCGTTATTTGGAGTGAAGGAGAGTTGTCCATTGGAGGGTACGCTGTCGTTGGTGCTGCCAGTTTAACTGCAGGTGTAACAGGAACGATCAGCATTGCAGTGATAGTTTTCGAGCTCACGGGACAGCTGAGCTACATGATTCCCGTCCTTCTTTGCGTAATTGTTGGACGTGCTGTGACGCAGTTCTTTACTCTCGACTTATACGAGACGATGGCTCGTCACAAGAATTTGCCGCGTTGGCCAAATTTGACGAAACAAGTTTCGTATGCGCTTACAGCAGGGGACCTGATGCGTGAGTTGCCGCCTATCTATCTCGTGCGACGGCAAACGCTGACTTCAATCAAGCATTTGCTTCAGGTAGCAAGTCGTGTCAAAAAAGACAAGTCTAGTCGGCTAATTCCAGTTGTAGATGACACAAAGACAATGGTTTTGCTTGGAGTTGCGAGTCGGGCAGAACTTGAATCTTTGGTGGTGATTTGGGAACTTTGTTTGCGAGGTGGAAAGGGAACGACATGTGCTGGTATCCAGCCCCAACAAGCACTAGCATTGTCAAATCCAGCGACTGAAAGCTCGGACGCTGTGGATTTGTTGCACCTCGAACTTCTGAGTCTGGAAGAAGATTTTTTTCACGTACCTCGCGATACATTAGCGAGCCATGTTATTCTGCTCATTTCGGTTCATAAATGTCCGCAATTATTTGTCACGTATCGTGGCAAACTGCAGGGTGTAATTCATGCTTCAGATCTACTAGCGCGTTCTCGCAAGTACATGTTATAGAATTGAGAGGGACCCAAGAACCGTTCGGATGCACAAATATAAATTATCTAACGAAACTGGACGAGAAACTGGAATTTTTTTTTTTCACACCAGATCGGTGCGAGTCAAGACTCGTGCGTCGTGTTTGCAGCTGCTTTATTCTTTCGCGACGCTCACGAGCCTTCATTGCGGCAGTATAAAATGCATCAGTCCTCTTTATAGAATGTTCCTCGGACTTTTCTAACAATTGTGCCAGCTGTGAAGCTTGACGAAATTGACGAGTTTTCTCTAAATGCTGTTTCTTTTGCAATAAAGCAGCAAGCTCATTCTCTTTTTCATGACGCAGCTCGCGCATCATCTTCTCCGACGCTGAGCGCTGGGCCTTTTCAACAAGTTCTCGTTCCTTAACTTCACGAAGAGTTCTCTCCTTCACAAGTTGAATTTGGTTGGCGTAATAGTTTTCCATGGCCTGCTCGCGCTCCATGTGTTCCTTTTGAATCTGCTTTAGTAAGGATGTTGTGAGACGATGCTCTTCTCGCAACTTTTCTTTTTCCAGCCCAAGTAAGTAATTCATTGTTTGACGAAGCTGCTTCTCCTCTTCATTCTTCGCCTCCAATCCAATAGCGATGCGATGCAAACGCACATCCTGTTCAAATCGGCGAGATCGAATCTTATCAACCGTTGCCAGATGCTCACCCGACTTGAATGCACGTTCCATGTGCTGGCGCTGGGACATCTCACGCTGACGCAGCTCTTGCAAGTGATTTTTGAGGGTAAGTTTGTACCGTAAATACTGCACTTGGGCCTTCGACTTTTCTGCACGTTTTTTAGTCTTCGGTAGCATTGGGTGAAGGGACTTTAAATCTTTTTGACGTTTCGTGTGCGAAATGAACATTTGCTCTGGGGCAGAAGACTCACCAGGAACAACTTTTTTCTTGACAGGGGACGTCAAATCATCGTCTTCTTGCGCTTCCTGCTGATTTGTCTTCTTTTGATGGGTAACAGCTTCGGAATTTTTGTTCGGTATGGTATTTTCTCGATCGCTTACCGATTCATTCCGATTTTTGCCATCTTCTTGCTCAACCTCAGCGTCGTCGATACCAATTGATGAAAATTCTTGAGCAAGAACACCTTCGTCATCCATAAAGTGTATGCTTTCGTCGCTGTTATGTTGCACTGAAGACACGCTCTCGAAAAACTCTTTTTTTGAATCATCAATCGAGATCTTTTTCACACAAGGCTTTTCACAGTCTGAACTGGTATCAGATGCCGCTGTAACAAATCGTCCGTATTCTTTAGTTGCCAAAAACTCTTTTTCATTACTTCGGTGCCTTCGCCACCTCCTATTCGAGACTCTTGAAAGATCATGAAGCTTTGTTCTGCTAATCGTCGTATTATTTGCCAAAATCTTTGAGCTGGTGCTCACATTGCATGACTGCTTCAGTAGCCGAGAACGCTTCTTGTTGTTCTCGGCGATCGCACCAGCTCTGCTGCCCCCTTCTGTTTGACTTTTTCTTCGCCCACTAACAGCGCATCCTGTACGAACTTCCTCATGCTTCTGACTTCCTAGCTGTGTATCCTTGCCTCGCATACTATTGTCCGAATTATCTCGCATCTCTTTGACCTGCGTACTATTCGAATCGTCATTTTTCGAAACACTCTCCTTCCGCTGTTTTCTGGCCAATTTTGGTGGAATTCTTCGTTTCGATGACGTCTTAGCTGCCATTCCAAGGCTCGCCAGACTTAAATCTCTAAGCCTTTCCCCAACCTCTTCACTCTCCTCAAACAACAGCGTGTATACCTGCTCTAGCATTGTCAGCAGCCGTCGAATACTCCCAAAATCTCCGGCACATAATTTTTCTCCAGTCAATTCATCTAGCACATCTCCATCATTTCCTTGCTCCAATAATGCGCTTTGTAGCGCATTCGCTACCACCTGTGCGTTGTGCTCATAGTCTTGTCGAGTGCGTGGTATGCGTTCCACATCACGAAGGCGAAACTGAAAGAGCTTTTCATATAACGCTACGCTCATAGAAGAAACGCTCGCGACGAGATCAGCCACGTGGGAGAACGCGCGATCACCAAAACCCAAATTTGACAGCAACTCATTCGTGTCAAGCAGAAGCTGGTCCGCAGCTTTTTTCTCAACAACTTCATTGTCAATTGACGCAGAAACTTTTGCATCTTGTGTCTCAGACGTTTTTGAGTGCATTTCGGCTGCTGACATCGCATCTGACGTAATACACGCGACGTTTGTAGGCATCGACGGAAGTTCCGAACTGACGATTGGGGATATCACGTTTGAATTTGGGATTTTCAAGCCTGAAAAGCGCGACGGTGCTGTGCGATGTACTGGAAGGTACATGTACGCTTTCGGTGACACTAGGCGTTTCGAAACGATAGAGAAATACTGTGAGTTCTGTTTCAAGTACGATATCTTCAACAGGTATATATAATCATAAACATACGTGGTAACGTCGTTATCCATCACTTTGCTTTGGTTTGATGTATCCAGCAAAACGATGCTGGTGGTCCGCCCACCATCGCTCAGCCTCTTCTTCGGTCACTTTTTCGCGATCAAAGAGCACAGCAATCACTTGTTCCTCCAACGTGTCTTCCCTCCGACCGACGTGTAGCGCCACACCATCTCGTCCTGCTTTGCGATCTGTCTTGCGATACATTGTGCTAAGCTCGAATTCGGATGCATCTTGAAGTATCAATCGAACTTTCGTTTCACTTGAGTCAAGATCCGCGCGCCTGCCTCCAATTTTCGGCTCACCGCTCCATGCAGGAACATTTTCTTCAGGCTTCGATTCCTTTGATACATTATCTAGTACCTGTAGTTCCTCGTCATTGCCTTCATGCGATGACATGTCATCCGCGCCTATATAAACGGCATTATTTCCCTCAGAAGCTGCAAGTTCGATTTCACTTTCTGTTTTTCGACTAGATACTAGCGATGCCTGCAACTCTAACTTCATGCAATCTAAAAGCTTGCACGGCACTTCCACAGGCTGGAATTGAGATGCAATCTGGAGAGCCGTTTTTTTTCGAAATCGCTTTTGTGTAGAAAGCCGCGGTACTTTGGGCATGATTCGTTCTTTTAACAAACCTTCCCTGGTTTCTCCTAAATTCCGACTGCTTTCACTCCGCGTGATAGACCGGCTACTAGGAAGCGCACTTTGGGAATCTCGAAAATATTTGTCACCCGAGTATGTGATGCGACGAATGAGCTTCGGTCGAAACGTAAGCTCCCGCTCATTTTCCGCAGTTTGCCGAAGACGCTCAGCCTCTGTTTTTTCTTGCTTTTTTCGAAGCCACTCAACCTGTCGCTCTAATAAAGACATTTCAGCAAATCTTTTTCCAACCGCCAGTGTGTCGATACCGACTTCGCGGCGTGACATATATCCAATGCTGGAAATGGGTCGAGGTCTCTTCAATGCCACGGAATGTTTGCCTTCGGAATCAAGCGGTTCCAAGGACCAAGAAGACGCTAAATTGTTATTCACATTGTTATCACCATGAACGCTTGCACTACTGCTGCTTTCAGTGCATTTTTCATCATCAAGGACAATAAGGTCCTTTCCAGGTCGCAGTTTCCCGCGACTCGGACTTGGTGCAATACAGTCTAGGCTTTCTGACTTTTTATCAAGTCCTGCAAAGCACGTCAGATCCCGCAGCTCCATAACTATGTATTTCCAACACTTGCACTGAGCTTGTGGATGTGAGTCTCCGCGCTGAATGTGCCTTCGAATCATCTAGGACATCAGATATCGTAAATGCGTCGCAAGACAACATCTACATCATAACAATATCCACCCCACCTCTTCTGTTCCATCACTAGGCATGATAACTCGACTCGTTTCATCACGTAGCCAATGTTCGACTAATCTGACTCGCTGATGCCACCAACTGGTCTCTCCGTTGAGAGCCCTTAAGTCTTCTGTGACAAATTTAGCCTTTTATTCCGAAAAACTAAGTCAGAATCATGGTAAGCCTACCATAGAAACCCCACTCACCATGCACTCAACGAGTGTTGCCTCATTCAAGGTCACAGTCTGCACCATCTCTGATATAAGCGATCCCACGTATTTGTGCTTACAACGTTTTACTAGCGAATGTTTTTCAAGCGTATATATATAATGCTCGTCTGTTCATGCTCACTATTTCTGAATTAGATTGTTGTCGTTACCTTCTTTGTGTCAAAACATTCCTACAACGGCAACATTTATTCGGCTTGATATCCAATATTCTTCTCAAGCAAAAGATTAGATCGCAATTCTGGATCCACTCGGTCTATTTCATCTTTAGCTTGTACGACTTTGTAAATTTTAGAAACAGTCGAGATCATGCGCCTTGTAGTCGGAAGGTAGGGCAGAAATTGTCTGCTATGCATCATCTCGTGCTGACCGTCATTCCTTAGCTGGCCTCCTCGAATCATTTGCTGCTGAGCATGATCCATCATTTCTTGCAATTTCATAACTTTTTTTACTCCTAATGTCGATGCATCCAGCTGCCCCGCACGATCACGATATCCGTCCACTCTTTGTATGGTGCGGGCTCCATCACTCCAAAGCTTTTCCCCAAGAACGTATTTTTCTTGACCACTCGCTAAAATTGCCTTCCCCTCCTCTTCACGTCCAGTACAGTGGACCAACCCGTGCGAAAGAGCGTTGAACATCCATTTTGCAATTGCCAGCATGATTCGGACATTTGTTAGAGCAGGCGGCAGCGTCTGTACGTTTCTGTACACATTTGTTACAAAGAGGTGTGCTCTTTTCATTGCCACGATCACCTCGCACGCACGAACCTGAAGAAAGTATGCAAACTGCCGGTCGCATAATGGTGGAGCGTCCATAAGTCCTTGCTTTAATGACTGCTGTGATTTTGCGTCCTGCTGCACCCACAAACCCTCAAACAAGTTTGTTGAAGTAGCGTGCCTCATCACAACACCTAATGAATTGATAGACGCGCCATCAGTATACCCGAAAAAACCAATGATTTCTTCCTGCTTGCTTATAAACTTGCTATGAAAATCAAATTTCGATCCTGTCTCACAATGGCCAAACCAATTTGAATACCGCCCAAAGCTCGTGCCAAACCTAAGACCATGTATTGATTGTGATGCGAAACCTTCGACGCTCACAAGTTTCTCGTCCCTTCGTAACGTGAAAGCCTCGCGATTTCCGGAAGATTTTCCATAAGTGAAAGCTTGACGATCATCATACCCCGGTGCCTTTATCACAACGCAAATTCCTTCCACCCTCTTACCACTGATAATTGTAATTTCGGTAATACTATAAAACTCGGGCACCTTGTCGTGCACGAACAATTTTCCTGCTGCTGTGCCAACTAAACTGGATGAGCTCTCAGCAAATTTGTGGACCGCACGTTCTTCGTACGCCACAAGCATCAATTGCCTCTCGAGTTGCATCCGTTGGCGGACTTCCTTCTCATGTTCTTGAACTAACGCTTTCAATGATGGCGAGCTGATTGCGGTTTTGCGTACTAGTTTACAGGAACGGATCAATTGAGCCTTTAATGTTGTTGTGGGCAGACGCTGCTCATGTGCAATGATTTTACAGCGATAAATGTCCAGGTCGGCCTCAATATGTCTCCACAAGTATGGTACATGAGCGCACCGCTGTTCGAATGTGTACCGCACCTTCACTCGATTATTCAGAGCAAAGAATACTGTATGCATTAACCAGATCCCCCGTTTCCGACGTGCGTGTAAGACAATCCCTTTTCGCGCTCTTGAACGCTGAGCAAATTGAGTCCAGCGTAGAAAAACGCCCCGAAACAAGTTTGCGGGCGAAAATTTTGTTTTAACAAGACTCAAAGATTCTGGGCTACCATCTAGCACCCCTTGGGTTTCCATATAATGGTCATACTTCCACAAAAGCTCTTGCGAGCGCTGGAGTTTACGTAAAAGGTCAGGTGACTGAAATTTCCACTTCCATACAGCATGCTTTAATAGCGCCTTGAAGGCGTTATACTTTTTTTTGAGTTTGTAGAATGCGCTCATGTTTCTTTCCCAGTAACTTAAGCGGTGACAAAGGCGGAGCCAGTTACGGATTTTCGCTCGATGACAAAGCGTGTTCGTGTACTGCATCATGACGGCAATGCGAAGACAACGGAAGCTCGATTTCAACTGCTGACGTTTGTATTGCAAAAGAAAGACATCAAAAACATGATCTATCGCATCATAAAGAAGTCGTGCCCGTTGCGAAATCATTTGCTGAACCAGTCGCATTTGAGCCGCCTTTACCTCTAAAGTTGCATCACTTTCTTTTTTGAGAAAGTTAACTTCACGTGCTCGCATTGACTCAAGAATTAATTCACGCTCCCTTAAGTTTTCCATTTGTAATCTATTACTTTCTTTAATAGCAAGAAGGTTCTCGCGAAGTTGTTGTGCTCGAATTGTGTTTTCAGCAATTGCTTGAGTACGCCATTGTCGGTCTTTTCGCCAATGTATTTTGATTCGATCGGAATCTGTCCCAATTTCATCCTTCTGTCCCATACGCTTCGCATTGTCGATTTGTGTCGCTTTGGAAATGGTGCCAATCATCCACTGATGGAAGTAAGAGGTCGCAACGCGAAATGCACCTAGATCGCTAGCAAAACGATTCAATTTGCGTTGGCGAATCAATATGTGCAAATTCTTCATAAACATTTGCCCTAACCGTCGATAGGCAACCACGTTACCGATCATGTTGATGCGGTCCTGTCTGCAGCATGACATATACAAATTAAGAAATGTCGTTTGAAGCAGACTTTCGTTATTGTCTGGCTTGCTTACTGCGCTTTCCATGATCCACGTGATGAAATTCACACTACTGCTGTCGTAAGACTTAGCGCAAAGCTTTTTGACGTTAAAATTATCCGGCAAAATCTTGATATTGCCCTCATCGTCAGTCGGCAATAATATACTAGAGTTTCGCAGGTCCATGCTAGTTTCCCGTTCAAGCGAAGATGAGTTATGAGGAGAAGTCGAATAACTAAACTGGGATAATGACGCCTTCTCAAGCTCAAATGCGCCAGACAACAATGATACTTGGTGTGGGTAAGTATCCTGTAGTTGATGATGGTGATCCGCCACAATATTTCTTTGTGCACATATTGAAAATTCGCTCAAAAATGTTTTGTACATGCGCCGCTTCATTTCTTTCCTCAAAATTGTGAAGTAGCGCAATACGAAAAAGGCTGTCCTTACAATGTAAAATACATGTCGCCGAAACCTCCTCCCGTGATTTTGCCAGATCTGGCGTGTTCGGCGTAACTTTTGAGATCGATCGTTCCACGAAGTCCAGCAAATGCGATAGGTTTTATGTGCTTTTCTCTTTCGCATACAAGCGATTTGATTTTTGTTCCATTTCTTTTTGGTAACCCATAGCTTCTGTGCTCGAAAATGTCGAAGCAATGTGTACGTTTGCAGAACATTCATAAGAAAGATTTTTTTGCCACGCGCAATGATCATTTGCTGAAGATGACGTTTCCAGACGTAAAAAGGCCAGAAGCTGGTACGATAGAAAGCATGATATTCATGCAGCTTTCGTGTCATATTTTTCCAAGCCACAAACTTGCGCAAAACGTATTTTTCCAGAGTCCTTGAATAATTGGCAAACACACGCCAATCATTAAACGTTTGCTTCTTCATACGAAAATGAAGGACTAATTGCCGCTCAGGCCATTGATCACTCGTGCATCTCTCCCGATACCGACAAATCCTTCCCTTAATGATATCAGCTGCTATATCATGATACAAGTACGCTGCAGTCGATATGTCAATACCATCAAAATGCCCATCTCTTGAGTATCGTTGTAGAAGACTGGACAAAGCAAGTTTGATAGACATTCTGTTCGAGGCACTATGCATTATCTGTTCTTCTAGGCTTTCTGTTCCTTTTGCATGCGGGGTTCCGCCTAAAGATTGTCCTACCTGTTGGCTCTGTAATGATTTTAGATCGGTTTTAAAAAGTTGAAGTCGAAGTTGCAATCGCTGGTGCTCACTTTCCCACGGAATATATTTTGGGTCACAGCGAAAGTGCGTCAGAGCTTCAATCATGGGCTTGGCTGAATTTTCTAGGCGTTGCCGAACTAGAATCAAAGCACATGTACGAATTTTGTAAGAATTTGTTTCCAAAGCGCATTTCTGGATCGTAAGTGAACTTGCCTTTATCTTCCAGTGCCTCTAGCTCCCTGATGTATATCTCTTTCTCCTGTCTTTGACGTAGTCGATCGGCTTCAAATTCGCGTTTCCACTTCAAAACCTCTTGAGGGTCAGTTGGATAGAAGAGCTGACAAAAGTCATCGTAGGTAAACACTAATGTACTCATCACTCGCTCAGAATAATCGTGAATTTGCTCAATTTTTTCTTCGCCTCCATCTCGAGCTGTTGATGTTGCTTTAGAGTGTTCTTCAAAAAGGTTTTGAATCTTCTGCTCATCCTTCTTATTAAACTGAACATTCGAGTGCTTGAGAATATCTATAATTTGATCAACCGTCATCCGGCCACTCTCTGTAAACGCATTTTCAATGATATCCTGTGCCTTAAACAATCGCTTCTGTAATTGCGTTTCCACAAAATGGCGCAAGTTAGTCAATCTTTCGCGTCGTTTCAATCCAGGCGTCTGAATGTTCGCATCCAGATCAGATGTCGATGATTCAACCTTTGGTTGACTACTTTTCTCATTCGCTATCTCAAAATTGTCAAAGTCGGGATAGCCACCCGATACCATCATGTTTGCTGTATTTTTACTATCCATTTCGGTTGTTTCCGCCGCCAATGAGCTCGACACCGACATCACTCCAGTCATAGATATTTCACTAGCACCACTCACCTCGTCCAAAAGCACAGAATCTTCTCCCCTAGCATCGCTGTATTCGCTAATCATATTACTCGTAGACGTCCGTTCTGTATTCTTCTGCCACTGATTCCAAATAGCTTCCACTGCCGTTTCCACTGAATGTTGGTCGGCGTAATCTCCCATAGGCCAAAGGCCATACCTGCTCAGATCCTTCCATAACTTCTCTTTTAGCCTTTCTTTCATCGTTAATTTCATTCTTCCAAGTTTCCGCACTCTATGCCGCCGTCTCATGATACTCTTGAGCACCGTAGCTTCAATTTTTCGCACTTTGCGCTCTTCTTCTTCTCTTGAGCAAAGTCGCGATACTTTGGGAGTAATAAATCGATCTTTATCATCTTGAGTCTTTACTTCAGATTTTTGTGATGATTGGCTTGTTTTAATTTGCTGATTACGTGAGTCCGGAGGATGCAAATCCGTTAGAAGCACCGGCAGGTCAAACGGTGTGGACGTCAGAGACCGACACTCTAGTCGGCTCTGCTCTCGTTGATTATTCTTCCTTGTAGAGGTGGTACGAAGATGAGATGAAGAGTTGTCCAAAGTTAGTTCTGATCCAAATGCGCGCTTCATTACAAACTGCGAAGCGTCGAAGGGAAACAAGCTGACCATCACTCTATATTGCTCAATTTTTCGCCAATGGTACAAAAGACCTTGTAACAAATATGGTCGAGATCATCCTGGACCCAAGCATTCGCGACTGGGTGGTGCTGCCCATGATCATCATCTTCGGATGCTCGGCAATGATACGTCACTATGTCACGCTCCTTCTTAAAAATGATAAGATGGCTAGTGTTGAACAGCTGATGCCCATGTAAGTTATCGCACATTCAATTAGATTTTAAGATTAAGTTGAATGATTATCGTGGTCTTTGAACACAGGAATACGGTGAAACGCGCACAGATCACCCGCGTTAACTCGAAATTTATTGCGCCTTATGCCTTCGCCATGCGCAAGGTGAGAGGGGAGGTCACATGACAAAGCATTGAGAGTTCTTTTGCTCACGGGGTTTGTTTTACTGTATTGTGGTTCTTTGAGTAGCACTACTTTACCGCGTCACAGAAAAAAGATGGAATGAAAGGCGCACTGCGCGAGAAAGTCAAAAGCGAGGCTATGAATCAGATGATGAATCCCAACTCGATGCTGGAGATGATGAAGGGCAACATGACTTTTATGGTGTCCAACTTCGTCATGATGGGACTTATGAGCTACTTTTTCGGTGGCTTTGTCCTCGGTGGGTAAATTTTGCATTGTTTACTGATGTTTTGGTAGCAATGCGGAAAATGAGGTTGTTCATGTAATATGATTCCAGCTAAGGTGCCATTTTCACTGACTCAAAAGTTTAAGATGATGCTACAACGCGGCATTGATCTCAAGTACGAAGAAACGATCGTTTATGTTGTGATAAAGTTCCTTGCTGCTCATAAGCGCCTAATTTCTTTAATGTTTAGCACGCTGGACGTTTCGTATGTGTCTTCGGTGTCCTGGTATTTCCTCGTAAGCTTCGGCATGCGTGGATTTCTGTCGCTGATTCTTGGAGAACAAAGCGGTACTTTACGTGTTAAATTTAATGTTTATGGCGGGGAATTGATCACAAATTTCTCTATGTGCATCTGTTGCTCCTCTTGCAGCCAGTGATGACGCTAAGGCAATGCAAATGCAGATGGGCGTGGGGGCTGGCCCTAACATGGCCTTTGATGCACCGAAGGTATACAAGCAAGAGCGCGTGAGTCTTCGCTTGCACAATCACGACTGGGCACTGGAATTTGCCGAGAAAAAGCTACTTGGGGAATCCATCCCAACCAATGCCAAGTCATCAACTACCTCATCATCCCACACCTCGACTGTAAAAGAAAAGCGAGCTTCGAAGTTCACCAAAGTTTCTAAAAGGAAGTAAGTCGTAACCTATACAGTGTTCAATTGGTCGAAATTAGGCTTAATCATTTCCATTCTAATTATTCGCGTATGATTGGATACTACTCCATTCTGGGAGTCAAATTAAAGATCGACCGTCAATCCTCAACGCTACATTTATTCATCATCATGGAAGCTATCCGAAAATACCTGAAGACGACTTTACCGCGTTATTTGAAGGGGTTACCGCTTCCCCGCACGTTCTCAGGCTTTTTAAAACTAAAGCAGAGCGAGTGGTTGTACTTAGCTCCCTTGCTCATAACCATATTCGTGTTGGGACTGACGCTATTTGCCGGAAAGAATACATCGAAACCCGGCCGCGTAAATGGCAAGGTGCAATTGGAGAAAGAGAAGGTTGTGGATTTTATACCTGTGTGTGATGTGGAAGATGTGATCAAAAGCAAGGGCAAGTGCACGCTCTGTCGTTGTTGGAAATCGAAGAATTTCCCCTATTGTGATGGCTCCCACCTGAAGCACAACAAGGAGACAGGCGATAACGTTGGCCCACTTGTGCTTACCGCCAAGTCGGCTTAGTCGGCATAAGTTGCTACGAATGACTAGGACTTAAAGGAGCCAGCATGACATTTGGTTATGTACTTAAGCTCTAGTGCTGGTCAAGATAGAAGCTGTCGCATGAATTATCCCTGCGTAGCCAATTAACCTTGAATGGTAAATTTCAAGTTTTCCATGTGTTCCGGTTAGATCGCTGTCGCCAGCCCCGTGTTTCGTTAAGCCAGGTGATCAGGATGATAGCCCTCCCACGTCTGTATCACAAAACCGAGATTTTTTTCAAAGATCGTTCCTTAATTAAGCAAGCCCTTGACACATGGCAAGCCATGTGTCGATTTTCCTGTCATGCCATTCCGAAGATTCGCTTCATATCATAAGTCACCTGGATATGCCCAGCACCGTATGGCATATACACAGTGTATCTGCTTACTAAGTTTCCCATGTGCTTGACATACTAGGTATTGTTCAAAATTTGTCACCTCGAATTTCTGTTTAATATGTCAGCCAGCTGTTGGTTCGAACTGCTAAGAGTTGGCACATTAGTAGTTTTACTATAGAACATATATACTGACTGATCCACATGGTGTGACTAATGCCTTCCCTTTAGCCATTCCACGTCGGAACGGAATAAAAGCTTATCACAAACTCGCGCTTGCAAGTCTGGATGCTCTTTGTTTCTCCCACTTATGCACTGTTTTGAGCGGCCTTAAAAATTTCAATCGCTGCTCCAAAAAATCTCAAATCAAGACAAGAGATGCTTAACGAAAAGTTCTCTTCAAGTGCACATATAAGTCTTCGTTCACTTGAACAGTCGATTGAAAAGCGTACAGTTCTTGTTTGTGGTGTGGTATCGCAAGGCGCACGTGCGCTACAAAGCTAGGGGTAAACGTCCTGTTGCATTCCAACCTGGCTTCTGTTTACACTGTGCACAGCCTGGACCGACAGATGCGGCAGATCTGTCGAACAGAGCGCATCCATCAAAAAGCTGCGTCGACAGCGACAAACGCGCTCTCTTGCATTTTCGTGCTCGCCGTCAGTAAGGCCGAAGCATTCAGTGCTGACGTCAAAAATCAGCGGTAAGCTCGATCGAGGGCTGTAACCACTTGAACACCTTTGTGATCACGTCGTACTTGACTTCATGGAGATTCAGCATCGCAAGCGAGCGGCTATTGCCTCGTCCTTCTTCCCTGTAGATGAAAGTTTACTCCCTCATCTAAACATTTCATCGGAACAACATGAAGAACTTCGCCAATATGCTCTCCAAGCAGCTCTAGATACCGTGCGCGATGGACCAACGTGGGGTCGCTCTAATATCGAGCATGCTGTATCTAGTGGCTGGAAGGTGCTCTCTGCTCGACCGACAGCCTGCTTTTTAATCAAACAACGAACTAGGAAAGGGAAAAGCAAACATGTGCAGACACAACAGTCGAGTGAACGGCTACAGATGGATTTTAATAAAAACACACCGCGTGTTCCGATCACAAGTCTTGGTACTTTTAATGGCAGTGAAATTGACATTGGTCAAACAAGTGTTCAACAGCGCACAACGCGTGAGCCATTAGGAGCTACCAGTGGACAACATTTTATGGCACATGCTGTGCTACCAAACTCATTAGAAGATGTTATGAACACGCTATATTGTGAACATACACGAGAAATGCGTGCAATGAAACGAAAAATGTATGGTGAGGCGGCATTAGATTGTTGTGTCTTACAGACACTTGAAGGTGCTACACTTGAGGACCCATTCTGGTATTTAGGTCTTAAGTGGGTAGCGTTACGCTCACCAATGCACGCATTGTTGGCAAGTCGCGAATTTGTATATCTGGAACACCTTGGCACCCACATAGATCCTAATACAGGGCGTCGAATGCTGTATCGAGTGACACAATCTGTCCACGTTCGAGGATATGGAGGGCGTGACTCGTACTTCGGACTAACACGAGGCCATATTGAAGCTGCTTTTGTGTATTGGCTGGACGACGATAATGAGGTGAGAAATCCACTCTTACACGTTTGCGTTAAAGGTCGTATTCACATGAAAGGAAGCATGCCAGATGCTCTCGTGTATAAGTATCTTAAGTCATTATGGCGTTCAGAGCGCTCTTTGTTTCCCGCTGAACGATTATCCATGAGTATATCTATTGTTGGCGGGGACCACGCATCAAAGATATCACCTAAGAAGAAGAAAAAGTCAAGACAACGTAAAATTCCAAATGGACCACCACTCGAAATGGCACATGAATGGGTCGCAGATGAGCTTCGTCCAAATTGCTCGGTGTGCAACAAGAAATTTCGTCTTATAAGTCGCTTTAAACACCATTGCCGCGCTTGTGGTGAAGTCATCTGTCGTGATTGTACATTCCGTCATCGTGTCAATGTTCGTGCTACTCAAAGTTTTCGTGGTTTACGAGCCACTGGAACTCCATCTCGTGATCTCGCCTCAGAGTTTAAAACAGCCAAAAAAACATCTTTGCCCCTTAATTTCGAAGAAACAATGACATGTAGCTTTGACAAACAAGTGGAGGATGAAGATGGTATTCCAGGCGAGTATGATGCAAGTCTGAGCATAGTAAATGCGAGAAAGGCAGTGGACAGTCCGACGGAGACTGCAGTGCTAGGAGGCGACTCTGTCGTATGTGTTGTGATGGCTAAAGTCTGTCTTAGCTGTCTACACAGCGTTCCACTTGCAAACAGATCATTGCAACAGAGAAGACACAGCGAAATGGCGTTTAGTAAGGCACTTTCTGGCGCAATCACTAATAATTGCACAGATTTAAGACTGAATGAAAATTACCGACTGCATCGTCAAAGTTGGGCACCAAATTATAAAGAAGTTGAAGAGCTAGACAGTCTGGATGATGAACAAAGTCAAGTTGATGGAAGAGAGCAAGACCTTCCGATGCTCGTTGTAGATGACGAGGACACTCAGAGTGTTGATGGTGTTAACGGGGTTAGAAGAAGACCGGGCTCATATTCTATTGACGGCAGACCTAGAATGACTTCTTTGAATGTTCGACGTCAATCGTATGGTCAGGAATGGTCTGAACAGGAAGACGGCACTTTGGATAGTCATGCCAATAATAAACGCGTGATGATTCTTTCACCTCACGCCTTATCAACGTCATCCTCCATCACATCCACACAGCTCAATCAGTTTATGGAAAGAACTGAGAGCAGCTACGCAAGTAGCGGGCACTCTCGACGTGTTATTTCCAGTGACACTGACAATGAGAGTAACTATTCCATTCAATTTTATCCAACGCAAGTTAAATGCGAAGAACCTGAAGACAGTCAAGGACGTCCGAGCAGCTGCACTGCAGACTTTGATCCAAACAGTCTTTTCAATATACCGAGTGAAGAACATGAACTCGCTGCAGTAGCTAATGCAACCGTGACCGCGACCGAGCGCGTAATGCGCCGTATGCGCGATCTACAAAATGATTCCGTTTATCAAACTCGTTATGTTCCATCGCCATCAATGTCAACAACTTCTTTGTGTAGCGATGATGAAGACCTGTGCAACGAAATCGATGAGTCCATGCAAGATCTCCGCCAAGCTCTTGCAAAAGTAGAAAACTCACTGGCGGATCAAGCTCGTATCCTCTTGACAATTGAGCAAGAATGCAAAAAAGAGGGTCGGGCATCTACTGCTGCTACTGTCCAAGCGTAAGTGGAATGAAGCAGCGCAAATTAAATATACGGGTAAACATAATTTTTAGATTGTATTTCAATTAATCAAGCAGAATTGTTGTTTGAGGAATGAATCATTGAACTTAATGCTACAGTGCTTCTATTTAAGAAGAAAGCAGGGAGAGTGGTGTATACAGAGCGTCATTTTGAGGTGTCGACGCAGTTTGGGTTTGATTCGGATAAAGCAAAGACGAGCGTGCATCAGATATAATTTCACCGGCAGTAGTAGCAGCAACTGTCTTAACTGCCGTGTCATCTTCTGGAAATCGAGCAATTTTATCGCGTTGTTCTGTGATGGATCGGATTAAAGCCGCTTGGTGAGCGATTGATCGCTCTACTTTCTCCAATTGGTCTGGAATAGACAACGACCGAAGTTTTAAACTACTTTCGGTACACGCAGCAGCAGTAGATGGTCGGCGAGAAGTTGAAGGTGGAATAGTTTCGCTCTGATTGCTCACGCCTCGTACACGATGAATGGAGTAATTGTCATTTTCACCTTCGCCACGTTTCGGTGTTGGTAGTAAAAAGTCATCAAAGTTGAAAGCACTGTCACCTCCATCGAAAAGATGACTTGGTCGAGCAGGAGGTGATTCCTCACCATTGTTTAGACTGTCTTCGTCATAGAGAAGAATACTGCGTCGTAAGTTTTTCTTCTTTTCACGCGCCATGTGAATCTGCCGCATACGCTCAACACGAGCAGAATATTCTTCATCTGTCTCTTCGAGTTCGTCTTCTTCGTCTGCTCCTTTTTCTGCGTTGTGAATCAACTCATCATCAGCCGCATATCGACCATTAGGAAAGAATCCACGCATTGGTCCAGGTTGTAATCCAATGTTGTCCGCTAAAGAGCCTTGCAAGACCAGAGGGAATTGTTTGATCATTGTCGGAGCAGCGTAAAAGTTAGACGCTCCTCTCATGGTCCCTTTGCGTTCCTGACGGATGCTAAACATGCATTTTTTGCACAGTTTCACATTATTTACGGCTGGGTATCCATTTGAGCGTGTCTCCTCCAGGCTCTTCTTGGCTGGTTGGCGAAGTAAAATGCTCAAGGGCTGATTATCAGTATGAATGCCATGCTGACAGGCTTCATTACCTTTCCCTTCAAGACATGGTGCAGAAGAAGGTGGAGCAACAAGAGGCAATGTGATCATACAGCGGGAGCACATAACTTCACCACACATGCGACAATGATGGCGGTGACGTCGAACAATTCCAAAACTTTTGAAACACACAAAACATACTTTGCGCTGGTGGTCTGGTACCCAACTTGGCTGAGGATTGACTGCCATTCGATTCAGTTCAGGACTCTGAGTCAAGACAAATGAGGTCGAGAAGGGCATGCCAGCAGATGGTCCAAGCGCTGTGACCTCAGAGTCGCTCCTTGTATTCTGACTCTTCTCATAACTTTGGTTTGAATGTGAACAGCTTAGCGCTGCTGGTGGATGAGGGAAGATCATACCATGTTTCATGATATACTTGATGTCAGCGCAATAATCAATCCGCACGACTGTGGGTGCAAATTGAGACAAAAACGCGCTTCCGAGCCACGTTCCGGCTCGACCACCTGGGTCCAATGATCCTTCGCTGAATACTTTGACAGCATTGGTCGCCTCATCAAATCTGTACATGGAGATCATGGAAATGCGGCCGCGAACAAACCGCAGCTTCGACGGGTCCACCGAGTCACTCGGGTTTTCATGACCTACAATCTGAGTAAGTGGAGGCAGTATGTCGTCTCTCACGGGATGTAGAACCTTGACCAGTACCTTATGACCCTCATCAGTAGTCACAGTCTTGGCATATTCGTAAAACGCGTGGTCTCTTGGTGAGAAGAACTTAGCTGGTCCACTGGGAGACGCAAACGCCATCCACTTAATGCCAAAGAAACGAAACGGATCATCCTCCGTCTGTGTTTCCAACACTTGCAGCACCGCAGCATCCAAAAAGTAATCACGAAACAGATAAGCGCAGATGGAACGTTCATCAAGCGTCGTATCGCAATACTTGCCATACTCAACGTCCTGTAATGTGAGTCCTGGTATGCGTCCTGACGCTACAAACTGATGTTCTGTCGCGCTTTTGCACTCCGGATCTTTGCGTTTGTAGACAGCCAAATGTGGTTTAGCACTGTGGAGTTTCCACTGCTTTGGATCATCAAATATCTGCTTAGTGCCGTCCCACGCCGCCTTGGATTTGAGCAAACAGCTCGCAATAAGGTTTTCCGCCTGTTCACGCATTTCTGCTTGTTGTTCATCCGTAATTTCCACGCGTGGAAGTACTTCGTCCATACGTGGAAGTTTGGTAATCTGTTTGCTCTTGGAGCGACCAGGAAGTTTAAGTTTTCTTCGCAATGCTGTCTGTGGTCGTGGCGATATGTCGCTGGGGTTCCACGGAGATGCTGTAGACTTGGATGATCGCTGAATCTGCGACCGAGAAAGCGGTCCATCGCATAGACTTGAGTGCTCACTTTCAGCCAGTACGGGCTCGGACGCACGATAATCAAGAAAAATTCTGCCGCTGTTGCGGTCCATTCAGCTTGTACTGTTCGATGTTCAAACTTCTCGTTAATTGCGCCCAAGGACCGTGTCAGTTCTACCAGCTGGAGAGAAGCGAGCTGGTCGTTGTAACGGTCAGCACTTCGGCTTACCAATTGACAAAATAAGTTTAAGAGAAAAGAATTTTTGGTACCGACTAATGCAGTTGTATGCTGTCAGGATCGGAGACTTTGCTGCTGTCTGTGTCGATTGCAAAGTGTGACAAGAGTTCGAGTCAGCGAGAAGAATAAAACGTCGCGACGCATTCGCTGAACGACAAAAACGCGGGGTCATTCTGAAAGGCAAGTATTCAGTTTTAAAATGACTTGATATTTGTATCTTAATGCATAATCCATGAAAAAAGAGGCGTTTGCGGATCAATATACATGCGCTTCGTGACAATGTCCACGGTGGGGTTACCTCACAAGAACAGGTGAGGCGCCCATCGCAGCTGCATAGCACACCAGACTATAATTTTTGTGGCTGTGCGTGAATGTAGCTTCACTATACTTGAGATCGAAACCGCCTCTTGACTTATTGTTCGAGAAGTACTCGACTCGCTCTTTAGTCATTTCTCGTCTTGTCTTTATAGATATTGTACCACTACTGCCGCCCAAGTTTGTGGTAGTAACTGGCTATCCCATTTCACCATCGAAAAAATCGAGACGACATGATGATAACGAGGCGCGACTTGGACATTACAGTGCGATTTGCACTTACGTCAGTGGCCACATCCAAGAAGTGACGTTTTCAATCGAGATGCTAGACTCAAAGTTGAATCAAATTGATGTGATTCTTAACATATACGTCATAAAATTTGAATGCATTAATTGTATGACGTTTGTAACTATAAAAGCGAATTTGGCTTACATAATTTACAAGAAACTTTGTAAGGCACTGAGGTTTCAGCATTGAGACTCGTATGTACTTCATTCAATCTACGTCTTTGGTGAGCTTTATTCAATGACAAGGATTTCTCAAAAAATGAGTAATTTAACTCATATACTTTAATATCAATAAAAAAGCTTAGAACGCCGGTGAGCAGAGAACTGGTCTATGATAATTTAGCATGCGATTTGACATGTCTGCAGCGTTTTGTTAAACGTTTGTAAGAGCTGAGAGATCCCCTTTACGGTGATGATTCGTACTATACGGAGTAAACAGTCAGATGAATCGGACAAAGAGTGTAAACACTGCTTTACATTCTTTCACCTATTCTCCACCGCCTTAATTTACAATCTGCAGCGGGGCTGGCGCTTGAGGAAGCGTAATTTAGGTCACCGACATGTGTAAGCGCATCGCAATCCGCTTACTCCAAGAGTAATTATTGCCTTACCCAAGGCTAATTAGCTCTT